TCCCTTACGGATTGGCCGCCAAATTCAAGGACGACCTGGGGCTTGGGGCGCCAGATAGGAGTCTGGCAGCGGCAGGTGGGGGAGCAGGGGGAGCAAAAAAAAAAGAAAAAAAAAAGCCCCTTCTGACCCGTGCTGGTCTCTAAATCAGGGCCAGTTTTCGCCTCTTTTTCTTCTGGGGTTGGGGGTGTGTGTCACATCCATTAGCTTAATATCCTTGGCCCAAAGGGAGAATATCTCCAGCGTGCTTGGGAGGTGCAGGCTTGGGCGAAATCCGATTTTGCTTATTGGTGAGACCTTCAGAGAGTTCTGTGAACTCTCTGCTCTTAAGTTTTTTCATCTATAAAATGGAGAAGTGGTTCTTTCTCATAAGGTTTATGGTTGAAGTGCCAGGCACCTAGTCGATAGGGACAAGTGGTGGTTAGTATCCAGGGCATCATAGGATTTAGAGCAGAAGGAGATGATGGACTCAGTCACACGATGAATACACCCACACACGCTTAAAGAGATCCCAGTCTATTTTTTTAAATCAAGGTTGAGTGGTGAATGCTGGATTAAAAAGAGCGAAAAGCAGGCTTATGGAAAAGCCCCATCTTGAGCTTAAACTGATGTTCGGAAACACTTGAGACTTCCTGGCAAATTTGTGGGTGCTTTACAGGAACCTGTCTGGTAGGGACTGAGGAGTCCAGGGGACAGAGCTTGCCAAGAGGGGAGACGGGTCCAACATGAACAGCTAGATCAACATTGATTTTGAAAACAGTCTGTTGACTCTGCCTTGTGACCTAGACCCCATGGGATGCATGTCTGAGCCCCATGGAGAACAGGGGGCATTTTGAAATCTCCACAAGGTATGCAGTCCTGCTTGGGTACCCCCGCCCCATGAGGTTATAGCTCAAAGGGACCAGGGCAGCCTTCTCCCCGCGGCAGACCAGGTGCAGCTTCAGCAGAGTGAGTCCTTCAGCTCACTGGTTGGAGCAGGAAGCGGTGTGACCTGGGGGACCCAGCAGTGCGTTCACAGTGGCTGTCCCCAGGGACCGAGATTCCTCCTGAGAAGCAGCAGAGAGTGGACGTGCCAGCAGAGCAGGGTTGCTGGTGCCACACCCTGGGGATTAACAGAAAGACACGTGGTACTTTGCAGTGACTTGAGAGCCTGTGGGAATTGATGGAGGCAAGAATCAGTGACAGGTTATTACTATTAGTATCAACCCATTTTCCTCTCGGGCTTATGAGGCCTTGAACTCAGGCATAGTCTCCAACTTAGGGTCTTATGTAACTTTGGAGCTAACAGTATTATTTCCAAACACCTTCTTTTCCACTACCCTTTTCACCAAACTCCTTTTCCTGGACTCATAGGGACCTGCCCACCAGTGACCATACCTCATACCCATTCATTCATACATTCATTCATCAAATGTCGATAGTCTCCGGGATGCCAGGTGCTGCGGAAAGTCCTTGACGTGCACTTGACAAATATTTATCATGTGCTGAGTGGTTAAGAGCAGGGACTATAGGACCAGCCTCCCTGGGCTCAAATCTCCGCTCTCCACTTGCATTATTAAAATGTTGTTATGCACCTCCCAAGCACCTTTTTACCGAGCTAGGTGCTGGAGATCTTTTTCTTCCTGTTATTATTTCTACTATTACTAGCTGTGTGACCTTGATACATTATTTAATATCTCTGTGCCTTAATTTCCTCATCTGTAAAAATGAGAATGTTAAATAATACTGATCTGACAGGGCTGCTGTGAGAAGTATATGAGTTAATTACAGGTAAAGTACCTGGTACATTGTCAAGACTCAGTAAATGTTATTGACATTAGTACTACTACTGTGATTAGTATGCATCAGATGAGTGCTTCTGAGCTTGGACCATGCATTAGAATTGCTTGGGGATCTTGTTAAATTGCAGATTCTGGTTCAGTAGGACTGGGGGCTGAGAATCTGCAGTGATATCTCTTTGTGGACTGTGAGCCACACTGAGTAACAAAGTGCAAACACTATTATTAAACACTGGGGATGTAATGGAGCATGAGTGATACTCTATTAGTCTGGGATCTCCAGAGAAACAGAACCAATAAGAGAGACAGAGAGAGAAGGACTATAAGGAATTGGCTCACATGATTATGGAGGCTGAGCAGTACATGATCTTCAATAGGCAAGATGGAGATGGAGACAGCCAATGGTGTGAGTACCAGTCCAAGTCCAAGGGCCTGAGAACCAGGAGGGCTGATGATGGTGTAAGTTCCAGTCCAAGTCTGAATCTGAAGGCAGAAGACCAATGTCCCACCCAAATACAGCCAGGCAGAGAGAAAGAATGCTTTTCAGGCCTTCAACTGATTGGGTGAGGCCCACCCACGTTGGGAAAAGCGATCTGTTTTACTCAGTCTGTGATTCAAATGCTAATCTCATCCAGAAACACCCTCACAGACAAACCCAGAATAACGTTTAACAAAATATCAGAACACCTTGTGAGTCAGTCAGGTTGACCCATAAAATTAACCATCACAGGTATCCAGTCACCAGACCCAAAGAGCTTATCACCTAAGGGGGTTAAAGGTCAATAAACAAATTCTGTGATAAACACCATCATAAGTCCTATAAGAAGTAAAGGGTGGAAAAACCAAAATAGCAAAGAGTGCCATGACAGCTGAGTCTCAGACCTTGGAGATTTTCCCTGAGGATGTGATGCTTAAGCTGAGACTTAAGGGATGAGTGGATGTTGACCAATTGTAGAGGGAGGTGGGAGCAGCCTGGGCAGTCAGGAAGGAGCCTGGCATGGATGAGGAACCAGCAGGAGGCAAGCTTGGCTGCTGCCTAGAGAGCAAAATGCAAGTGGGGCAAGATGAAGCCGGGCCCAGATCACACAGGACCTTTGGAAGGTTCTGGGTCTTTCTCCTAAGTGCTATGGGCAGCATTTGAGGGGGTTTTAGCAGAGGAGTGACATACTCAGATTTTTTTTTTTTAAAGAAAGTCATTCTGGCTGCAATGTGGAGAATGATCTGGAACGAGGCCAGAGGGACACTGGGAGTCAAGTTAGAGGTTGTTGACTAGAAAGGATTAAATGAATTTGAGATACATGTTGGACGGAAAATTGACAGCAGGAAAATATTAGCAATGACATTAGATTTCTGGCTTGAGCCAGATGGCCCTCTCCATTGGCTGAGAGGGAGAAGATTGGAGGAGAGTCAGGTGTGGAGAAAGATAATGAGTTCAGATTTATACTCAGTTCAAGATGCTGATGAGTTATT